CAAAAGAAAAAGTTAGCATGGACCCCCTTTGGAAAACGCTGACCCTCCCACCCCCCCCTCGGTAAACGCGAATATGTGTGAAATGGGTATGAAAAGTGAAAGATTTGAGGCAATAGAAGTCACCACTACCCCCCCCCCCCCGACCCACCCACCACGATATAGTTTTTTGACGTTTGGGCGAGTTTAGGTTTTTTTTGTTTGTCAAGAAATTTCTGGGATTGGATTTTAAAAAATTCTGGATCCGTGCCTGTCGTGTTCAGTGAAGTACACCCGGTAAAATGTAAATATCGCGGCCTTTGTTTACAAACTTTGATATTTGAAGTTAAACACGGAAGAGTTTTGTTGTTAACTAATTTTAAGAATGTTTGCATTAGTTCAAATCATGGAAACTGAAGTCATTTCTTGATTAAGAAACGAGATTTAAAATTGTAAACAAAATAGCGCTACCCCCTTTCATAGTTATATCTCCATATATTCAGTACAAGTACATAAGGGGCTATATATAAATATATTTCATACCTGTTAGCACTGACACTATGTCTATGACCAGAAGGAACCATAATAATGAAATTCTGATGCTTTTACCCATTGTTTCCGTGGGTGTTATCCTATGTATTATCCTTAAATCTAGGGTCCAATTTATCTACATTGTTATCTTGCCCAAACATCGTTTTACTGTTAAGATGTCCGATTTTATCTCTAGGCCGCTTATCTCCTTCTCAACGAGATACGATAGATTTTTTAAATGCTAAGATTTGATTTTAAAAAATTTTGAACTTGTTATTTACTAAATGACAAAATTCAGCCACAAGCATTTACGTTACAAATTTTTCTTCTTAAAAGCAAATGATGAGCAATAACTAATCGTAATGGATGAGGATTATAGTTTTGTTTTAATAAAATATAAGAGGGTTGTTCGAAAAGTTCGTGGACTACTGTCATATCTTTTTTTTATTTTACGTCATATGTTATCCAAATTTGGTAGAAATATTTTAACAATAAATCCAAATGATTTGTATCAATTTGTTTTCAAAATATTCCGATTTATTCAGAATTTATCCAGATTTTAAAAATGCAGAAATCGGATCGCAGAGCAGGTCAAAATTTAGTAAGTTACAAACAATACACTAAATAAAGTCTGTGGTCATATTCTCTGTAAAATGGAGCAAAGACGAAAAACAACCTAGAAATTCAAATTAGGATTTGTTACATCGATTCATATTCCAAATTATGGCTTAATATTTTGCTTTGTTGAAAAGAAATCAACTTAAGAAGATAGGTAGTCCTCATTGAGAACGACAAAAACGATGACGTTAAAGAACGTCACGGAGCAGCAGATAACGATGCAATTTTGTGTTTGACTCTGGAAAAATGTTCAAAAATCCTGAATAAACTCTAAAAATGTTGGAGGAATAATAAGATGTCACAAGCGAGTTGTGCATGTGTGTACAAATAGTACAGTCAGTATTTGAGTGACAGAGACTCTGTATCGGATGAGGACAATCTGTGAAGAAACGGTTTAACTGTAAAAATCTGAAGAAAAAATTTAAAAAGTTGAAACTTCAAAGAAAGACATAGGCGCTTCAGAGTTGCTTATCCTGTGAAAGCAGATTTAAGTAATAAAAAAAATTAAAATCTTAACAAAGGAAAAAATACAACGAGAGCAATTCTTAAAAAATAAATATCAAGTATTAGAAAAAGGATTTAATGAGTAGGCATTGAATTACACTGTGTAAAATGCAGGGCTCTCCATGAGCTGTTTTACTGTGTTGCTCTCGACACAGTAAATTTTCTCCGACACAGTAACGATTGAAATTTTATGCGTGCGACACGCATTTTTTGATCTTTTGCAAAAAATTGCTTTCTAGACTTCTCCAGAAATTCAACTACCTTATTCAATAAGAATATGAACATCAAGACCACTAATATTTAAGAAAATGGCATATCAAACATTTTGTGCTTTTGCAATTCTTTGCTCTTCTCAGACCTTGCCTGTATTTGTCAAGTGCATCTTCTTGTAAATTTGTTTTGAGGGTTTAAAGCAATGAATTCAAGTTTCATTATCTGTGTAATTGTTTAGATATTTTCACTCGCAGCCGCTTTCACTTATTTTTCAAATTTTAAGCTTTTTTACTGTCAAATATTTCTTTAAAACAGTGTAGACTACCCCCAAAATGTTGCCTATCAATTTTGCTATGTTTCTTAAAGTCAATCAAACATCGTCAGTGATCATTTGTTGAATTTTGGCAAACAGTACATTGGTTGTTGAAAATCCTGGTTGCCAAGAACGGTACCCATTTTGATGCTCATTATATCATTTTTGGCTATTGAAATCCACCTGCTAATATGTCTATAAATCATACATTGGTTTCTGTACATTTCACATATTTCATTGAATTTTTCTTTGGGATTAATAACAAGTTTACAGCAGCTTTAATCATATTAATGAAAAGTTTAATTTCACTCTAGTTAACCGATTCTTTACCATTCATTTTTAATGCAGTGTCTCGAATAGCCCTTGTTTTCCAGCTTCTCACAATGAAACTATGTGATGAAAGTGGTCACATAAACTATAATCAATTCATTAAAGATTTTATCATGAGAGAAAGTCAAGCTTAGTGTCATATGATTTCTATGTTGTATGTCATAGAGCACAAGGCATTATTTATTGAACAGCCCTCGTATGAAATTGTTGTACAGTATTCCTGATGTTTCTCCTTCACTATTTCTAATAATTTAGTAAGGAGTAAAGAAGGAAATTTGTAAAACATTACTGGAACCCACTATGTATCTTTGTTTGTGAGGATTTTTGTGAAATTTTAATATCCAATATAGACATTGTAATTAGAATTCATGTTGATTGTTTGGAATATTAGATGTATTCAAAACTTACGATTTTGAAGAATTTCCTCCTCAGAGAGGGGGCTTTTTGAGTCTAAGATGGATTACCACAAGTAGAATCAATTAGCCCTTTAACGGCAACTGCTGTACTACTTTTCTGCAGGGCAAGTTAACAATGTTTGGCGGAGTTTTGTTGATAGATAATTAAATGACGTTTTCTAAACAATTGCTCTTACGTATATTTCACAAAAGTATTTCATTTTGCCCTGCAAACGAGCAGTACCGCAGTTATCGTAAAAGGGTTTAAATAATGAGCCTAACAAACAGACTGAGACAATATTGTTACCTGCTTCGTCTGTAGGGCCCATTGCATACTGATCTTGTAATCTACATTGTATCTAATTTGAACAAGAAAATATTTATATAACCATCAATTGTCGCCCTTAAATAAATAAAGTAAACAATGGAAATGAGTCTTGATCATCAAACCGCATCGATATATGTGAGAAAGGCATGCGTCTTAATGATGGAGAAGATAGTCGAGAATACTTTGAAAACTTATAGTCGGATGAAAATCGAACAAGAACGATACCCTTTTAAACTTTATCAATTCATCAAGTAAATGTTAGCTGTATAAAATGTAAACTTAAACCAGACTCATGCATCACGTATTTTCAAAAATGTATTTCACTTTAAGAATATAAAATATGAACTGTGTGAAGTACGTTTTCATGCGATAAGTAAAATTCGATGTTCTAAAAAAAGGGACCTGTCATTTTTTTTCGATAGTAAATGATAAGCAACATTATATTTTAAATATGGAAAACATATATATTTTTACAAATTCGCTTCATGGAAGTAAATATATTATGTATCTCGTAATTTTTAAAGGGAAAGAACATACTGATTTACAATCTTGTTAATGTTCAGAAAACCTCTAATTCTGAATAACTTCCACCTCAATCCCCATACACAAACACTTAAACTTATATGTATAGAGCAGCCCGGTCCTCCGGGCTGCAATTACTTAGTGCAAGGACATTTACAGTCAGCTTTGACACATGAACTCTAGAAATATTAAGTAATCGGAAAAATGCTCGGATCATGGTAAAATCTTGTGAAAGAAATTGATTTTTTTTTCAACTTTAGCACACGGCTAACAAAAAGCAACCAGCAGCTAAATAATATGATTTTAACAGAAGAAGATAAAATTTATATAGGATTGCAGAACTTTTCATAAACTAAGTGGCTGTTGAAGATAAATTTTTTCGGCTAAACTTAGCTTTTTAACTCTTATATGCCCTAGCACTACTTTTGAGTTTCTAAGTGATATCAGTACTGGGAAGTGTACATATAGTGATAAAAGTAAAAAAAGACAAAAGTATATATAGTAAATTATGATATTATGTTCATAAAAAAGGTACATGAAAAACCTGCAATTACTTTTTTCTGGTATCATTAAAATACCCCCCCCCCCCCCCCCCAAAAAAAAAGAAGAATAAAATTGAACTGCGATCCTGACTTTAATGTATTTAATCGCAAAAGGGTCTTATAATTCTATTTCTCGAATTAAATGTACTGCAAAACAGTCAATTTTTAATCATAGTGATAAGAAAATTGTGGATTTTCAATCTTGAATACTGTTAGAGTGGATTTAATGCGTTGTGGAAGAAATTGCAATGAATAAAAAGTCACAAGATTTATCACTAAATGAATGGGTTAAAAGAGTACCATAGTAAATTTAACCAAGAAATGATGTTAATTTCCGCAAAAATAACCCCCGATGGAACGCCTTGTTTTGTGGAAATTGCGGGATGCTCAGTGTAAAATATCAACGTATTTACTTTACACTTTTATTTATATAATCACCGAGTAAACCACAAGTTCTTTTTATACACAAAGCATTTTTTCCTCCTATCACAATCTTCATGTTGAAAATTATTCTTATTAACCATCTTTCAGAGACTTGCATTTATTTAGACACAAAATCTACACTGCGAGCAATGAATGACCAAATCAAAAATACGCTAAGAAAGCTCTTTAACATATGTAGATTTTAGAAAAAAATTGCCTTAAATTAAATCTTTTCATGGTTTTAATTCATGAATACACACTCATTCATAATAAAAGCTTGATTCATTTCAACTTTAATAAATAAATAGGAAGAAAATATACTTTATTCTGGTAAAATCAATATACAACGAAAAGTTTATTGAGCTAAATTACATTACTGAAAATATAAAAGTCTCTTTATAAAGACAAAGAGGATGAAGTTTCTTTGTCGTATTCAGCCCTCTTTGTTTGATATCTATCCCATGGCTCAAGGGATTGATTGTGAAGGAGGTGGAGGACAAATCTCATTCATTGGAGATACACAATCTGGCATTGTAGACTGCTTATTGTCACATATTGCTAAAAAATACAAATAACATGCTTTATTAAGTCATTTGATTCACACACACTTACCCTCATGCTCATACACAGTCACAACCTCAGAGATAGAGAGAGAGAGAGAGAGAGAGAGAGAGAGAGAGAGACCTGGATGTCCTATTGGAGTTCCACTCGCAAACACACAGTTAGGGTCCCCTAGTTCAGCACCATTTGACAAACCATCTCCATCGGAATCTAGATTGCAAATCAAAGCCCACTGAAAGTTGGCACTTTTATAAGCCTAAAAAGAAAAGCATTTACTATATAGTTAAGAAGGTTACAACGAACAAGAAAAAATTACAAGCTTTTAGTCAAATAAAACACGCCCCCATCCGAAATTTTAGAGATGGCATCAGGAACCTATTATAAGTAAGCGCCAACCATTATACGCAGCGTGATCCCTATGCATTGATCAAGTACACGAAAACATGCTTAGTCAAATTTACTATGAAAACAAAGGCGTATAAATGACACCATCAAAATACAACCTTATTATAAAGTATACCATAGCAGAATTATTGGCGAGGATTTAATTTAGGAAATTATTAGCGAGGGTGCTGTGGTCGCTTAAATTGAGTATCGCTAAAAAATGCTTCTTTAATGAGCATTTTAAAATCAGTAAAATTTTATTTGGCTAAAAATGAATAACCAATTGATAAGCATAAATCGCTTAATTTGCATCTCGCTAAAATTTCAACTTGTACGGTATACTAATAACGTCATTATGAAGATAAGTAATTACTGCCGTAAAACGAGGTTATTAAAATCTTTGTAACATCAACTTATCATACAGAAGCCTACGTTAAAAAAATTAAGCTTGCTCTCGAGTATCGAATAAGTTTGGAAATGTAAACATCATATGCAGCTGACAGCAGAATATCACTTCATAAATAAGGAAAGTTGACGACGGAATAACTGAAAGTATATGCTTAAAATAGAATTTAGTCTTTTATTGTCTTAAGTCAGTATGAAATAGATGGTAGGGACTCGTTAATGTCTTTTATTACGTATTAGTGTGGACATGATAGAAGTGACATGATTTGTGTTGCTGCACGGACGGAACACAATATTTTAATAAGTGTTTTTAAAAATCTCGAAATCTTACCATTATTTGTCTGATTTCCAAGAAAAGTAATGAATCCTATAAACTTAGGTGAAATGACATAGGGACCTACCTTTTTTCTAGTCCTTTATTAAATATTAATAATGTTATATAATAGATTTTGAATGTCATTGGTTTTATGCATTAAAGCTGTGGAAAAAATCTTTTCAAGGAACTACATTGTATATTAAAGAATTAACAGTAACAGTAGTTATGTGAGATAAAAGGCTAGAAAAACAATGTACTTATTTTTTTTTAAATCTAAGATTAATGAAGACAAGAAGATTCCAGAGAATTTCAATTCCCATAAGAATATTATTAAAATTAAAGAATACATGTAATCAGTCAATTTATTATTAATTTTTTTTTTTGGCAAATCCGTATACAGCTTAAACAGAAAATTATCTTAAATGTACTTGAAGATAAGTCAATGAAGCTTCAAGACATCTTTTTACGTCGGAGGGTAAAGTCAAATATTATACGTATAATGTAGAACGTGGTATTTGACTGGTAAATAACATATTTTAAAGGTATTTTATCCATACGATATTATTTTACAGATTGAACAATTTTTTAAAAAATCTTCCTTAATTTTCATGGATTTTTGTAATCAAATATTCACTGCAATCTTGTCATAAAGGGCCTAGGTTTTTTTTTGTCTAATCCTTTTTCATTATTATTCAACTGTACATAAACCTCGTATCCTGGGATTCAAGGCTAATGAAATGTAAACAAAACCAACAGTTATCACGCTTAAAAGTCCCTTATTGCAAGACAAATTGTGAGCAAAGTTAGCATGGAGCTCTTATAAGATGTGGGATCGGAGCCTTGGAGGATAAAGCATCTTCTGTCCAGAACAGTACAAATTTGTGAAGAGGGAGTTAACACGCATCTCTCGAAATTCTAGAGGTGAGTTCAGGTGCAAAGAAATAGTAAAGATCCTCTGTTGACAAGCCACACCCACCTTGAATCCTTTGTATCGATTTCAAATTAGCTGAGTCATGTAGAGCAATGTGAATTATATAATGATAATTTTTTTAAAAAAAAATTATTATAAGTAGTAGACGAAATTATATGAGTAAGTATCTTTTCTTAATCTAGAAAAATCACGAAATACTTAAAGAGAAATCACGTAATACTTAAAGAGCTGAGTCATTTTTTATTGCCTGAGATAACTCTATCGAAAAAGGGAAAAGACATGTCATATTTCTGTTAGTGTTTTTTCAGTAATTTTTTTTGAAAGCCATTTTGTACTTGGTATTTGTTTGATTTAGATAAGGAAAAGATATTTATTAAAAAAACTAAAAATTTTACTATTTACAGAATACTTAGTAGGACAAGTAACCTGCTAAAGAATAAACTTCTTGAGGATATCTATATTTAACAACTTGTATAAAAATAATGTCAACAAAACGCATAAAGAAACAACAACTATAAAGAAAACTTATGAATATCTATCTAACGTTTAAAAAGTATCTTCTTACGTGCATACTATACATAGTCATTAATCAGAGAGCCCTACATAAAGACGCATGAAGTCATGATATTTTCACCAAAAAACAATTGTAAT